TTATTATAATTATATATCATATCCCACTAATTCTCTTTATTACACTGATAGAGTATACAGTGAATACTGTACAGCGTATACTACCAGTAAACCCATTTTAGGTAGGTGATCGACATAGCCGTTAATTCGGTACTGCGCCACATCGATCGCCTTCTTCTGAGATTACAGTACTGCGGCCCACAGTACAATAATCAATCGTACTACATTGGGGCACAATGCAAGGCAAGATCTAAATCTGAAGAAGACCCCTAGCAAAATGGTAAAAGACGAAATCCTAGGTGAAACATTAGCGAAAGCCAGAACTTCTTAGTGGCTGGTGTGATTCTTGGCAATAAGATAAAACATCTAAAACTTTGAAAAAGACTAATTAAATAAGTTCATTATTTAATTTAAACTTTATTGTTAATGATCATTGTTATAAAATTAAAATATTACTTATATAAATCATTTTTTTCCTCATTTTTAATAGTGTTCTAAGTCAATTAAAATACCAATTTTTTGTGATTAAAGGTATATATATAGTTTTTTGGGTGATATTAACAAGAGGAGTAAGCGTTATCGTGAATCTTCAGTGTAAGGGAGATGGTGATTTCGATAACAGGACTTTCTTGCAGAAATCAGACTTTAACATGGAGGCAACTCGGAAATGATAGTCTGGTTTCGGAAGTGTATGCGGATGCCGAAACAAATGTTTCTGGTTCATCGCTTCCGTTTTTAAGGTTATACTCAACTTCGAATGAGAATGAGTATTTCCTTATTCTGTTAAGTGGTCTTGCGAAATTTAGTCATCTTTAATAAATCATTTACGCACTGTTCCTTTAACCCCTTTTGTTACTATTGGCAATTTACTTTGTATATACTTATAGTTGTAATAATGACTAATTTTTTGGTTTTTTTTTTTTTGAATAATTAAATTAGACGCGTTACGATTTTGGCCTACTACCTAAACTTAAAATGCCGAGATTCAAAATTCCATTAAGGTCATCATCATTGCTAAAGTAGTCATTTTTGATGAATAAGTTCTTTTTCGGGTGAATTTTGTTATCACGTATCTTTTGATTCTTGGAATTGTCGATTTTGAATCCTTTCTAGTGGACTTTTCATCGCCCTGGAACCTTTCTGGTGGATTTTATCATCGGAAATTAGTGAGACGTTTGATTGTGAATATTATTATGACGAATAAATTGAGTTAAAAACGATTAACAAAATGGATTAATTATTTTCAAAAATCCGCAAAGGTTGGTAATGCTTATGGAACATATATAATCCGGGTAATAAATTGTTATTGAATGTAATTGTAGTGCATAAAACGTTCGTTATTATTAAAAAATCAGCAGAGATTGTTGACGCTAGTGGAATATCAAATATCTGATTTGTTATGGCAAAGAAATTGGAGTCGGCATAAGACATTCATTCATTTTCAAAAGCGCAGAAATGAGGAATTTTAATAAAACACAATTCGGGTAAGTATATTATAGTAATTGATATACATAAAGCATTTGTTTATTACTTTTATTTACATTACTTTATTCACATTATTTTATTCACATTAGTTTATTGGCGTTGCTTTATCCATATTATTTTATTTATATTACTTCAAGGGTTTATTAATCTAAATAAGTATCTCGATTAACGAATATTTACTATGAATTTTCTTTACATGAATTTAACTAGGTGTATTTAAAGATATTTTACAATCTGAATGCTTAAAAAATAATTCATATTTACTTGTTTTAGATCATGCTAATTTAAGTATTCAAATATTCGATTCAAGTTCATGAATTTTACTATTTTATTTCATTAATTCGGAGAATATATATTAATATTAAAGTGAGGTGAAACCATTTTACGTTGATAGAGGTAAAATTGAGATGGCGTTCTCTACTTGAGGCGTTTGCGCTTTGGAGAGTATTTTTTTTCCAACACTAACAATTTTATTTATTTATTATAGTTTTTTTATTATGACCCTTAGCACTTCCAGGGCACTACCAAAGATAAGTAGAATATTACGCTTATACGTTTACACATCATAACACTTTTGCTACCGGTTTTTTCTATTCAATAGATTTTTCCCATCAATTTCTACTACCTGATTGTTCACCATGTCGTCACTCTGAAGCCTCATTGTCGTGCATTCGATCCATGCTTGATTTAGTTCTATGCATTGGTTTTGCGATTGTTGAATCATTGGGGACGAACATCGATCGTACTACATCGAGCCGTCACTAAGCTCTTTTTTTTATTTGCTAATGATAAAAATTAAATCCGATAGGATAAAATAAATCAATTAAGAAAATCCTCTATCAGGATCATATATTCAAGAGCTACCCCACAAAGAAGATAAGTTTTTATGAATTTGTTACGCTTTGCCTTTATCATGCAACGGTTTGTACTTAATTTTACTGACTTAATCCTTTTTTAATTCCTAGGTTCCTTGTTCCCATTGTTTTACATCAATTTTAGCAGTCTTTTACATCATTCAGGTGTTTCTTTGTATTTTCGCTTTTATTCCACTTGAATTTCCTTCGGAATTCATCAACTCTCTTTATCTATACCTCGCAGGTTATTTCAAGTTCTTCTATAGGGTGTGCTTATGCCTGTCATTTTTAGTATGACTACAGGTTGGTCATTATTCATATCCGTAGATTCTTGATAAAGAATGGACGTCTTATATTCATCTGGTTCAATTTCAATTCTATTTTGGTTGCTGAATTTAAGATATTGTCCATTTGGATTATCACTTTCAGCACGATTCAAGATTATCCGAAAATTTCGGATTCTTGTTTTCAACCGAATTCAAGTACCATTCTAATACTTTGAACCCATCTTTGGTAGACTCTGGATATGATCTTATGTTTTCTCCTTTCAACAACGTATTCATTCTATCAGTATCACCCATTTGAAAATTTAATTTCACGTCTGTTTTCAGTAAGTAAATAATCGGTGGTATTTTAGTTTTTCTTGTATAGTTCGTAAAGTCTTCTAACATTTCCCACATCATTTCCAAGGCCTGGGGAAGTTGTGTGTCTTTAATAGAGCTGTTACGAAACTTTGTTTATTATTTCTTCAACTTGCCGTTCAGTCAACATTAACAATATTCAATGTATTTTAATTATAATCGCTTGTATTTCCATTTTCTGTTCAATTTTTTATTTTTTTTTGTTAGGTTTTTGGATGGCTTCCATAAATTTTGTCAGTTTTCTTGTAATTTCTTTTGTGATAGACCTTGTAGCTTTTTTTTTTATATTAGATACAGGTTTCGTTTTCATCACGTTATCTGTCTTTCAAGTTTCTCAGTAGATTTGTTTGGCAGTAGTCTTCCGGCTTTTACGATATTATCAGTTTGGGTATATATATACTTTCGGTTGACCTTTTGTGTTTCCTCAAGGTTTAGTCTCTAACAAGGTTTTTTTTTGTTTATTAGTTTTGCGGATGTATTTACAGCTTTTTTGTCCTATTTCACATGTCAAGGATTTGATTTCTTAGTTTGAATAGGTAACGTTCAATCTCACAGTCACCTCCAAAAATGGTAGAGGTATAATAATGACGACGTTCTCTATTTGAGGCGTTTACGATTTGGCAAGTACTTTTTCCTAACTATTTACTGGTTTTTTTTTTTTTTTTTACTAATATTAGCAATTTTATTTATTTATTATCGTTTTTTTTATTATGATCTTTAGCCTTTCCC